TGCCATGGTCGGCGAAGGTGCAAGCCTTATATATCCGACGTATGAGCAAAGTACGAGGCTACACAGACTCGGAGATGACCTAATCGACGCAAGGATTTCGTTCGCTGACAGATGCAAACTTAGCTTATGAACCACAGCACTGCCGGGGTTTTCTCCACAGGAAAAAGCGAAGTCGGCGCTAACGGGACAGTAATTACGGTAAGCGCGCCTTTCGATCTCACTCCGAGTCTCCGAAGATTCAAATATTCAACAACCACACAGTCCCAGTACTACAAGCTCGTTCGGCCGCCGCAGGCAAAGAAATCTTACGTTGAGTCAGTGCCCAACGTGAACTGCTTGGTTCACCGCCGGCCGGACTGCTACTAATCAACTAATCCATGACATATTCGTCGCCATCCATCCGAGTCGGACGAAGGACATTCGCCTACACTCGTCTGAAGGGAATTCCTTCCACCACGAGCGTGCTTCGATTCGCGTATCGAGAGCACAGCACCGGGCACTCGGGCGACGCAAGCCCGGTTAACATGATTTACGACTACTACGCCCTTCTAAATTCTTAACAATCTAAAACAATAAGCAGGCCTTATGGCGTGCCAAGGTACGCGGATGCTTGTCGTGTCGGAGGCGCAAATTTGAGATGACGGTGGACAAAGTGGCGAGAGGGCAGAACGCCACCGGTACCACACGCTATATCCGGATGTTTACACCACGAGCTCGCGCTTATAGCAGCTACGAGATATCCTTGCAGATGGCTGTGCAACGGCTTTGCGAGAGTCAGACGGTGGCGAACGCCTGCCATGTCGCCGCATTCAGGTCAGTCGGTACGTCAACGAGCGACGATTAGTCAATGGTGATTAGCATCATAGGGCCCAGATGATAGATGAAGTATGATACATGCAAAGGTCAAGATAGGCGCATAGACTCGAGAAATGTACGGACGAAAAGGAAAAAGAAAGATCGTAGAGCGTCTGTCCTTGCTCAGGTACAAACACGAGCAATACATACGTGACAGAGCGACATATTAGTTTAGAGAGAGATAGATAGGGTGTCTGGGCTGGGCGAACAAGCGACACGTCAACATCCTTACCCGATGGGAACGGGAGTGAGATGCTTATTCATCGCTCACGCAAACTGCTGTAAGCTTTGATTGAGTCCCGCGAGGAGGACGTTCAATGTCCCGCGACCCGACCGGACGATCTCCAGTTCGCCCTCTGCAGTGCACTTGACCGCCTGCCAGGTACTGTGGGCCTCGCAAGCAACAGATGACAGGTCCCACATCGCCTGCTGCTTCTGCAGCACTGCCGTCTGGGAGGCCGCGGCATCGTACGCAGCTTGCTCGAGCGCGTCTGCGACAGCCTCGTCGCGGACGTTCTGTGCTTGTGCAAGCTGGTCCTCCAGCGATGCTGCATACAACAACAACTTCTCGTCCGGGTCAGGCTTGGCGAGGTTTCCATGGACCTGCTCTTCGAGCGTCGAGATCTGTCGGGCGAGCTCTTCTGCGTCATGCAACCGAGCTTCAGCTGCAGACGCTAGCTGGACTTCGAGAGCTTGAATCCGGCCTAGGCGTTCTTGCGCCATATGTTCCACGGAAGCCAGCTGGAGCCGCAGCATCGTGACCGCCGAGCTTTCGATAGGCGAGGCTTTAGCGGAGTCGTCGTAGCGAAGCTGGGCGTGAGGCGCGGGAGCCGGTGTGACGTCGGGTAGCAGGACTTGGGAGATAGCACCATAACCAGAGGGAGAAGGCATTGCACTCAGCAAGGGACTTTCGGGGATATCAGCCAAGGTGAGCTGACTAGGTGTCGGCGACGCCATAAGCGCGTGAAAAGGTGAGTCGACATCGGCAAGCATGTGCTCGACATCAGGTGTGCCCATGGACTTGTTGTGCTGTGCTAACTGCTCCCAGGATAGTATCGAACCGCGCTCCTTTCCTGCACTCGCATTTCGCCTTTGTGGACGAAGGAACGACGAGCCCTCTGCTGTCGGAAATGCCGGAGATAGATAAGATAGGTTGGCACGACCTGGCAATGGGAAAGGAGAGAGACGTGGCGGAGTAGCAGGTGCAGATTCGTTGAGGTCTATGGTACGGACCCTGGGCAAAGTCGGCGTGGGTGCGGACGGGGATACCATCTGCGAGAGCATGAGCTCAACGTCGTTGGCCTCGATACTGTCCATGCTATCGTCCCTCGTTAAGATGATCGGCATGGGGTCAGTTGTGAGAGAAGAACGAGAAGAGGATGGTGTGGGTTCTTGTGATGACTTCTTGCGCACTGACACATTGACGAAGGGTGAGTTGCGGTTTGCGGGTATATTGGTGCTTAGGGGACTAGGCCTAGGACCTGAATCAGTACGCGAGCGTACGGACCCATTGCGGCGGTGCGCGATGCGCTTGATGATAGTCGGGGTAGGAGTAGAAGCTGGTGCATGAGACGAGGTTGTCGAAGACGCAGAAGACGGTGGGCGGGTAATCGTAGCGGCGGCGGGTTTAGCCGCCTTGCTCTGTTTGGGGCGCGTAGGGGACGACACACGCGTCGACGAGGACGTTCCGAAAGCGTCCGCCTTCGGAGTCTTCTTGTCGGGCGTTGACGGCGGGGTTGGAGTCACGTTGATGGCGGCAGTGAGGTTGACTTGCAGCGCGTTGCGGTGCGGCAAGGGACTGATCGCACGTGTCGTCTTCTCCGCCAACTTGTCGATGTCGAGCAGCGCCGCCTTGCCTTTCTCCTCCTTGTCCTCATCTGAGGTGCTGAGCCGACGACGAGTACCGGCGCGCGGGGGCGGGGACTGCCCCCGCTTCTCGTCGAACCCATCAATAAGCAAGGACTTCGGCCTGTACTTGGGTAGCGCAGAAGACGTGGTGAAGGAGTTGCGAGGCCGCAGACTGGACGCACGCTTCACGCCGGCCCTGGGGCCGATCGTGCTGGGCGCAAGCTGCTCTTCAGAAGACGTACCACCGTTCGGCTTGGGCAGTTTAGAGAGCCTGCGCGTGTTCCTAGGGACTGCGGTCGCGTCTGGCGAAGGCGTCTTGTCATTTCTGGTTGTTGCAGCCTTATCCGTGGAGGAAGGAGCCGGGAGCACGAGGCTGCTACGTTTCGAAATCGCGTTGTCCCTTGCCTTCTTCCCCTTTTCCTTCTCCCCTACAGAGTCCTTGTGCATGGCATCGGCAAGGGCTTTGCCCATGGATGAGAAATTAAGAGACTTTAGCGAGGCCCTAGTCATGGGCCGTGTACGCTGTGGGAGTCCTGTGGGATCAGTCGGCATTGTCGTCGTTGTCGGGGTATATAGGAATGATAGTAGTAGTGAGCGTCGAGTGGGTGGACGAGTCCGTTGCGTTTTCGAACTCGTCGCTGTTGAACGTAAATCAAGACGTAATTTTGTGGGTGTGAACCATGGGAACGTTGGGTATCACTGAAGAGAGAGTCGAACAGCAAACAGCGCGTCAACATCGGCGCGTAAGTCACAGTGGGTCTGTTCTTACCCGTCACGGTCACGCTCTACTACGATACGGGGGTATAGAGACGGTGTACACGAGAGCTACCACATAAACCGACCTACGCCCTCTCTCTCTTTATACAGGAACACCCACATGGTGGCCGCATTGATCCCGGCGTACCACAGGCCCTCAAGCGCCATACCCCACCCGGTAACATCACTCACCTGCGCCCTGAGCAGGACGTATGGAATGAGAAAGTAACGAGGCTCAAGCAAGGGGGTCGGGAGCAACGTGGGTGTCACAAACAAAGCAACCAATAGGTTCTGGAGTAACGTCTGGTCATGCCCTGCGCCAAGCCGGCATTAGGTGCCACTCGGCTAGAGAAGGATGTAGTGAACACATACCGATCCGAAGATACCATGCCCATGTGCAAGCTATATACCCAGGAATGAGGAGATAGGGTACAACAGGGTGCAGACGGAAGACTCTGCGCCACACGTAGAAGGTGTAGTGGCGATTGTCCGCGAGAAGAAAGGGGTGATGAATTCTATCCGAAACACCATGAGATTGGCTGAGACGAGTATAAGCTTCCAATGCACGTACGTGAATTTGTAGACCGTGAGAGCCATTCCGGCTGACAGTAGGCAAGTTAAGGCAGTATTTCTAAAACAGGGTCAGTCACTGGACCAGACATGCTAAAACCGCGCTCCCAGCTCGTGTACCTTTTACCACCGAACATACGCTGCCGGACTCCTTGCACGAGAACTTGCAGTCCACCTGGCGTGCTCACGAGTGCGGGCCAACCTATCAGAGTAGCAAATCCCACAAAATAGTACAACTGAGGTACATGGAACGACGGAATGTGGTTCGACTTGTCGCCTGACGAAGCCGGCAGTCAGACGGATGAACACAGTGGCGGCATCGCTACAAGCCTGCGTACCCAGCACGATTCCTCCGTTCCAGAAAACGAAGACCGCAAATGCGACGATGACCAGCGCGTAGGGGACAAATGCCGGTAGTATATCCGGGATGACCTTCGGAGCACTCAGGATTGCCTGCAGCAGATCGACTGAACACGGAAGATCCAACTTTCAGCACAGCGATCATCGCCTAAGCGTGCAGACGAACCTGGGGTAGCGGCAACGGCAGGCGGATCATGGAGCTTTTTGACAGGCTTTGCCCCGGGTGCAGCCCTTCGGAAGCGCAAGCTCATGAGCTGACTAGCCGCGTATGCGTAGAGCACCCATATGACGTTCGTCTGGCGGAACGTGCAGCTTACGGCACCGAACTGCCATCCTTACGTGCGTTCAGCGGGGCGTTGCGCCGAGGCCAGAACAGTGACGTACCAGCGCTGCGAACCAGTGCTTGTCGTGCGTGGCCGCGACGACCGTGAGCGCGACGAACACCAGGCTCGGGACCTCAGTGTAGTACAGGAAGCCGAAGAACCATGCGACGGGGAACGCGGAGAGCACAACTGCCTCCGGCGTCGGAGCGAAGAGCGAGGTCGGAGGGCGCTCGCGTTTGTGAAAGCAGAGAAGCCTGGTGAGCACGAGGGGAAGCACGAGTAGAGCAAGCAGGGGAGTGAGCCGGAGCATTGCCAAATTACATTTCAACATGAAGATACGCTTCAGAATAAGGCTCAGGATGTAGCTATCAGACCACGCTCGATCAGCTAAATGCTAAGGTTGGAGTGCAGACATGCTTACAGGCCAGGAGGTGTCGTAATCTTAGGATCCCAGTAGGAATAGTTCCCAATGCAATATGCCTGAGCTTGCGGAACATGGAACGGCTCGTCCTATAAGTGATCGCTCTCCTCAGCACACATTCCCTCACAGAAGACTTAGTCACACACCATATACGGTTCTATGACTGCTTCATTCATGGCCTTAAGCACCAGCACTGAGCTGGCGCAGAATGCCAGGTAGACCGTCGGACCCAGCGACGCCGGCAACATGGCGGTCAATGATAGATGGCTTTGGCGCTTGTACGCGTCTCACATCCGTTCTTAACCAGAGACCGCAATGATCTCGACGCTAGAACTGTCGCATTTGACCACTGCGGACTATGGGCATGTCTACGAAGCTGCAGGTGTGTCTCATATTCCCCTCATTTCTGTGCGACTAGACTAGACCTTGCCTTTCATAGAGAACACTTTAATTCATCCTACCTGACGCGCTTCAGCAGGAACGAAGCCTCTGGTATACCTGGAGATAGGGTGCGTGCTTTGCTTCCCGTTGGCATTCACATATAATCTAGACCACGCAGGTCTAGTTCAGACTGCGTCTCCAGCTTCATTCGGGCCATTCTCGAGTACTCGTGTCGTTAGTAGTCGCCTCTTCGACGTCGTCTGCTCTTTGGAAATGACCTCTCTACAGTGTGCACTTCTATGGACATCAATCCTCATGCCGCCTCACGCACATTGCTAACTGCGCGTCAGAACGAGGTGCCTCTCCCTTTTCTCCTTCCAGTTCTTCCATGCCCTGACACGGACGCCATGTAGTAGACGGCCATAGATCCCAGTACCACAAGCCTGGCAGAACCGGTGCGGACGCGTCTGCAGCGCAGTGTCGACCTCCTCATATTCAATCCCTCTGTGTCCCAATATTTGACGAAGAAGCGTGCAGCGCGCAAAGTACCGCCGGGATTGCGGGCGCCTGGGCGAGCGGGAAGGATGGCATGCAGATCACGGACGCACTGCTGGACGACGTTGACGTGCGTAGTGTACTCCTTTTTGAGTGTGCGTGTGCGATAGCTATTTGCTTCGCAGACCTTGCTGTCTCCGTCAGGCCTGTTGTACCTGGTAACAGTCAAGCGGAATGACGCGCCTCGGATTCGAAGTCGGACGGAGCAGAGCTTGGGCTCTGGAGCGAGATCTGTGGTCTACTCCTCTAGAAGGATCGAAGTTGGTCTTACGGCTGTCAAGGTTGCGTTACAGCAAAGAGCAGGTCGAGAATATCTTTCCGTGGTCCGGTTCACACGTTAGCATGCACGTCTCCTGGTGAGTCCTCCACGAGTCTCCAGTTCTTTGTATATAAATGGCCATACGCAGGCAGCATACATAAAATGCATCCACTCCACATCAGTTTCCTCTTAGTAGTGTTCGTGAACCAATCCATTTCCGGCATGTCCCCGTGTATGCCTGAGCTTGATAGAGCTTGAAGTCGGGGTTGGCGCGATAGGTCTCTCCGCTTGGGCGTGATGTGAACACTATGACGCATGGCGCCCTTCAGTGAGCCCTCGAGGCGAGCCTTGTCATGGATACTCGCGAGACTAGGGATTAGCATAAGTTCATGGCCGAAAACGTCGGTCTTAACCTTTTCTCTATATGAGAATTTCAAATGAGTTCAAGTACGCATACATGTACACACGTAGTAGTAGTAGTAGTAGTAGTAGTAGTAGTAGTAGTAGTAGTAGAGCGGCACCGACGAATCACGTACATACTCAACAATCCAAATTTCATGTGAAGAACCTCCGCCAACCCGCTTCCACACCAGACTACCCAGAGCTCGACATGGATATTACGGACCGCTTCTTGCTTCCAGTTGAAACCTTCATGAAGGGAGTACCATCGGGCAAGGGCAAAGTTTCGAGCTGGTCTTCTGTCTTTGGTTCCGAAGAGTCTAGGAACGCTTCGTCGCCAAGCACGGCTCTCCATGGACCGTCCAGATCTTCGTGTGTCATCTTGGAGAGGGTGCACTTCGCTACGGAGTCTCGAACACTCTGAGACACTGGCACCTCTCTGTGCAGCTCGCCCCAGAGAGCTTCCCATGTCATTCTCTCGAGAGTACCGTAGTGCTGTGAGAACAGCTTGTGCCACTCTGAGACCAGAGTCGGAAGGGCGCCTGATGGGCGGGAAGGGCCACTGAAAAGGACGGGAGGCTCCCCGAGTGACAAGTAAAGGTACTTCTCTTGGCCACCGACAAAATTTTGACCCCACTTGTGTGCCAAAAAACAGAGGCTCCGGAGGACGGTAGCAAACCGTGTGTTTTTTGCATTCGCCACCGCGTTGTAGACTTTGGAGCTTCTGCCTCCCGAGGTGACCATTTTTGTGCTGGAGTGGGAATGCAGGTGGAAGCGCATGCCAAGCATCTGCAGTACGTGGAGGAATGATTCCAGATCATCGAACAGATGATTTGGCTTCAGGGGGAACATCAGCAATGTCGCCGACATGTAGGGCCATGTTCCCTGTGAGTGATGGGAGTATTGAGATTGGCATACACTAAACAGTATCAACGACGTACTGAGCGATCCGAAGCAGTGGCCTCTCCTGGGTTTTCGACAAGCTTAGCAAAATCCCAGTCGTTCAAGAAACTCTTTCCGGTCTCGGCATTAATCATGATGTTTTCGACACTGACGTCGCGATGCAAAAGCCTTGCAAACTCGTAGGCAGCCTTATGCGCTATTGAACCAAGTGGTCAGTGGATGCAAGCTCCAACTCCGCGACTGGTCATGGATCTTACCCTCGAAAGCATCATGTGTGCATCGCAAAAGCTCCTTCTAATCTTTATATGTCTCGAGATGGCAACCAATCTCCTTCCTAACGATACGATGATGAATATGCTTTGATGGCGGCCTCCGGTCGTTCAGGAAAAATTCTTGATTGCGAGTCGTCTGTGGCATCTTGCCTCCCACGTCGCCTCCTGCAAGGATGGAGGTGATGCTCGGTACTTTATGGGCGCGAAGCAGCACATAGTTCTCCAGCTCGGAGCAGGCGCCTTCTGTATACCAAATGGACTTGATGAACACGATGCACAGATTTTTCGGGTCGAGATCAAACCCGATGTAGCCTTTCGTCCCGCGACCACGAACGGAGTATCGAGAACTTGCATGGTGCCGCGCAACATAGTAATCATGGAGTAGGGAAGGATCGTTGATGTCCTGACATGTAATCTCAAGCATCAGCAAAAAAATTACCCAAT